AGGTAATTGAGAGGCTCGCTAATGGGAGAGGTGTCATTTTCTGCAATGTGATTTTCACATTTCAAAAATCTTTCAAATGAGAGTTAGACTAATGGCGCCTCTTCAATTAGTTAATGATTTTTCGGACATTGGCTAAGAAAAACGTTGAGTTACTTTTGAAGTTCAGGACAGTATATCGAGTGACTCATGAAAATGCATGAATATCAAGTGATTCAAAGAAAATCAAATGTACTCTTTTAATTTCATTAGCTGAAATCGACCGAAGTTACTGGTACTGTTGCAAATTTGTCCTTTTGAGATTTCCACAACTTGATGATTCCTTTTACATTTACATTTATCTCCTTTCATGAGAATACTTTCGTAATAACTTGTGCAAAATCACTTATTGCCTCGTTAAAGGTAGTCTAAGCCTAGAAAGTAGGTTTTACTAAATTTAATGCTCTCGATGCAGTCAACAAAATGAATAAGGAAAATTGAGGAGGTTTGAGCAAAGCATAAACAATTTTTGATATCAGTATTTCAAATGGGCTGCCTCTTCGTCTAAATTTCTAAAGCTTCAAGATTGTAGATCCAATTTATTCACAACACCCTCGATTGGGAGTACCTTAGAAAAGGAAAGTATTTGTTTCACTGTAATCCCATAGTTCATAGCAATTTTGTGTGAAGAAGAGAAAAGAAACAGAATTACTTAATATTCCCTTAAGCATTTTCTCTGCAAGTATGAACAATATGCACTAGGAACAGTATGCTCATTCCTGTAATTTTTCACGAAGACTTCTGATTTTCTCTCGAAACTGACAAAGAAATTCAATTCAAATCAAATTTTGTACTTAGAAACCTCAGAAAAACTAGCTAATAGCGTCGTTCTATCACGCATCACAGTTGTCATGCATAGGATTCTGGTTCGCTCACCCCATACATTTCGTTAGCAACGCCTTCAGGTTGGGATCTTTGTTCTCCTTTCACCCAGCTGTACAGACATTTAACGGTGTGAGACTATTGCGAGAAGAATTAATTTGACTGCAGCACCTGACGTTTCTCTCATGAATCTCTTGTCAACAATTTTTTGATTATTTACATTTAGGAAAATGCCGTCAGTTTCCCGCATTAGAGTTATTATTGGGTGTGAATACTTGTTCTAGTAAATTTGCTTAATAAGCTCTTTTGGAATGTAGTACGCTAGCTCCACACATCTGCTTGATCACAAATAGGATTGTGATCTCGTTTTCATTTGAGACCTTTTCTACCTTTTCCTTAGGCGGAGCTTTTCCTTTTCTTGATTTGTTGCCTTTTCTCTCTCAAAGATCACTACTAATTTCCTGGAACCATTACCCTCAGAAGAACGAATGAATTTGTTTTAGGAACGACCTAATAATAGCTTCCCACCTATGCTGACAAAGCTCAGCTTCATTGTATCTTAATGAACTATCCAAACAACTGATGCGAAAGTTGTAGGAGTAAGCTCGCATTACATCGAAAAAAAACGCCACTCTGCGACTGAGAAGCCGGAAATTTACACTATATTCAGAGCTCCGTTTAGCTGATATTCCTGAAGGTGTTTGCACGCAAACTCAGGCTACCTTGAAGGATTTCAAGAGGCTTCAAAGCGATCTTTTGCATGAGAGGCTAGAATTAATGAGGCTGATTTTTGAACTCCTTGTCTTTGTTGCTATTCTAATAAGGGTGATTTTTTTTGCATATAAAGTTTGGTGAGATATCACCTATAGTTGATTTCCATCTTCAGTTAGAATAAATAAAATTATTATATTAGGAACTTGCAAAGATTCGGTGTTTATAAGATGCAAAGCAATTTTTTAATTAGAACTTTTTCATTTCAATGTTCCCCTAACATAAAGTTGATATCGCATAGTTTATGGGGATATTGGATGACGAGAAGTTATGAATGCAATGGCATATGCTAGTCGTTGGAGTATGAGTGCAGTGCGGAATGGCAACCGGAAAGCTTGACAAAGTTAGTTACGGGCCAGTAGTGGATGTGTGAAATGCATCAACACAACCCCATTCCAACTCGTTGTCCTTCTCAGCCGCTTTAGCCTAAATCGAGCTGAACTCATTCGGATGACGACATAATTGATCTATTTTATGGATATATATAGCTAGGAAAATCAAAAAGCAGAGAACGTTTCTTAAGATTTTAGCTCACGTCACAGCTTAGCTAACCTTTAGTTGATAGTGCGTGAAATATGTAATTCAACCTCCTTTTCCTCATGCACATTAATTTTAATTCTCTCTATGTTCAAACTTCAATCTTGAACTCTTGGGCTGCTACGTGGTTTTTCTAGCCGAGTAAGCAGTTTGCAGACACCTTTATTGGAGTTTATGGTTAAGGAGGATAGTCAAACATGGGAGCTGAAAACAGCAAAAATCAACCGACCTTAGCAGAGAAACGCTACAAGGTAGAGAAGCCACCTAGGAAGAAAGGTATATCTGCATGCATTCGATCTAGTTCACTTGTTCCTGAAAAAGAGCATTTCAATCATCAGCTTAAAAAGGAAAAAACTTTCTTGC